ATTTTCGCCGCAACCGTCCAAAAACCGCGTGATTTTTGCCGCTAGCGGCCAAAAACCGTGCGATTTTCACAAATGGCGGGCAAAAATCGCGCGATTTAAGCCGCTAGCGGCCAAAAATCGTGCAAATATCGCCGCTACCGGCCAAAAATCGTGCGAATTTCGCCGCTAGCGGCCAAAAATCGCGCGATTTTCGCCGCTAGCGGCCAGAAACTATGCGATTTTTGCTGCAGGCGGGCAAAAATAGCGCTATTTTCGCCGCTACCGGCCAAAAACCGCGCGATTTTCGCCGCTAGCGGCCAAAAACCATGCGATTTTCGCAGCTGGCGGGCAAAAATCGCAATTTTTTGCCGCTACCGGCCAAAAATAGCGCGATTTTCGCCGCTAGCGGCCAATGATTGTGCGATTTTCGCCGCTAGCGGCCAAAAACCATGCGATTTTCGCAGCTGGCGGTCAAAAATCGCGATTTTCGCCGCTACCGGCCAAATATTGCGCGATTTTTGCCGCTAACGGCCGAAAACCGCGCTATTTTTGACGCTAGCGGCCAGAAACCATGCGATTTTTGCAGCTGGCGGGCAAAAATCGCGCGAATTTCGCTGCTACCTGCCAAAAATCGACCGATTTTCGCCGCTAGCGGCCAAAAAAGGGGCTATTTTCGCCGCTAGCGGCCAAAAATGGGGCGATTTTCGCCGCTAGCGGCCAAAAATCGTGCAAATTTCGCCGCTAGCGGCCAAAAATCGTGCGAATTTCGCCGCTAGCGGCCAACAATCGCGCGATTTTCGCCGCTAGCGGCCAGAAACTATGGGATTTTTGCAGCTGGCGGAGAAAAATAGTGCGATTTTCGCCGCTACCGGCCAAAAATTGCGCGATTTTCGCCGCTAGCGGCCAAAAACCGTGTGATTTTCACAGCTGGCGGGCAAAAATCGCGCGATTTAAGCTGCTACCGGCCAAAAATCGCGCGATTTTCGCCGCTAGCGGCTAAAAATCGTACAAATTTTGCCGCTAGCGGCCAAAAATCGCGCGATTTTCGCCGCTAGCGGCCAGAAACTATGCAATTTTTGCAGCTGGCGGGCAAAAATCGCGTGATTTTCGCCGCTACCGGCCAAAAACCGCGTGATTGTCGCCGCTACCGGCCAAAAACCGTGCAATTTTCACAGCTGGCGGGCAAAAATCGCGCGATTTAAGCCGCCAGCGGCTGAAAATCGCGCGATTTAGGGCGCTAGCGGCCAACAATCGTGCAAATTTCGCCGCTAGCGGCCAAAAATCGTGCGAATTTCGCCGCTAGCGGCCAAAAATCGCGCGATTTTCGCTGCTACCTGCCAAAAATCGACCGATTTTCGCCGCTAGCGGCCAAAAAAGGGGCTATTTTCGTAGCTAGCGGCCAAAAATGGGGCGATTTTTGCAGCTAGCGGCCAAAAATCGTGCAAATTTCGCCGCTAGCGGCCAAAAATCGTGCGATTTTCGCAGCTGGCGGGCAAAAATTGCAACTTTTTGCCGCTACTGGCCAAAAATAGCGCGATTTTCGCCGCTAGCGGCCAAAAACCGTGCGATTTTCACCGCTAGCGGCCAAAAATCGGCGATTTTTGCCGCTAACGGCCAAAAACCGCGCTCTTTTTGACGATAGCGGCCAGAAACCATGCGATTGTTGCAGCTGGCGGGCAATAATCGCGCGAATTTCGCCGCTACATGCCAAAAATCGACCGATTTTCGCCGCTAGCGGCCAAAAATCGCGCGATTTTCGCAGGTAAAGGCCAAAAATTGCGCAATTTTCGCCGGTAGCAACCAAAAATCGGGCGATTTTTGCCGCTAACGGCCGAATACCGCGCAATTTTCGACGCTAGCTGGCAAAAATCGACTAATATGCAAACTACTTTACAAAGTAGTGAAAGTAGCCCAATTTTGGGCTACAAAGTAGTGAAAGTAGCCCAATTTTGGGCTACAAAGTAGCGAAAGTAGCCCAATTTTGGGCTACAAAGTTGCGAAAGTAGCCCAATTTTGGGCTAAAAAGTAGCGAAAGTAGCCCAATTTTGGCATAAAAAGTAGCGAAAGTAGCCCAATTTTGGCATAAAAAGTAGCAAAAGTAGCCCAATTTTATGCTACAAAGTAGCGAAATTTTGGACTACAAAGTAGCAAAATTTTGGGCTACAAAGTAGCGAAATTTTGGGCTAAAAAGTAGCGAAATTTTGAGTTAAAAGTAGCGAAAGTAGCCCAATTTTGGGCTAAAAAGTAGCGAAAATAGTGAAATTTTGGGCTAAAAGTAGCGAAAGTAGCCCAATTTTGGGCTAAAAAGTGGCGAAAGTAGCCCAATTTTGGGCTACAAAGTAGCAAAATTTTGGGCTAAAAAGTAGCGAAAGTAACGAAATTTTGGGCTAAAAGTAGCGAAAATTTGGGCTAAAAAGTAGCGAAATTTTGGGCTAAAAGTAGCCCAATTTTGGGCTAAAAAGTAGCGAAATTTTGGGCTAAAAGTAGCGAAATTTTGGGCTAAAAAGTAGCGAAATTTTGGGCTAAAAGTAGCGAAAGTAACCCAATTTTGGGCTAAAAAGTAGCGAAATTTTGGGCTAAAAAGTAGCAAAATTTTGGGCTAAAAGTTTTTGGGCTAAAAAAGTAGGGAAAGTAGCCAAATTTTGGGCTAAAAGTAGCGAAAGTAGCCCAATTTTGGGCTAAAAAGTAGCGAAAGTAGCCCTAAATTTGGGCTAAAAAAAGTAGCGAAATTTTGGGCTAAAAGTAGCGAAAGTAGCCCAATTTTGGGCTAAAAAGTAGCGAAATTTTGGGCTAAAAAGTAGCGAAAGTAGTCAATTTTGGGCTAAAAGTAGCGAAAGTAGCCCAATTTTGGGCCAAAAAGTAGCGAAAGTAGCCCAATTTTGGGCTAAAAAGTAGCGAAAGTAGCAAAATTTTGGGCTAAAAAGTAGCAAAAGTAGCCCAATTTTGGGCTACAAAGTAGCGAAATTTTGATCTAAAAAGTAGCGAAAAAAGTAGCGAAAGTAGCGAAATTTTGGGCTAAAAAGTAGCGAAAGTAACGAAATTTTGGGCTAAAAGTAGCGAAAGTAGCCCAATTTTGGGCTACAAAGTAGCGAAAGTAGCCCAATTTTGGGCTACAAAGTAGCGAAAGTAGCCCAATTTTGGGCTAAAAAGTAGCGAAAGTAGCCCAATTTTGGGCTAAAAAAAAAGTAGCCCAATTTTGGGCTAAAAAGTAGCGAAAGTAGCCCAATTTGGGCTAAAAAGTAGCGAAAGTAGCCCAATTTTGGGCTAAAAAGTAGCGAAAGCTACAAAGTAGCGAAATTTTGGGCTACAAAGTAGCGAAATTTTGGGCTAAAAAGTAGCGAAATTTTGAGTTAAAAGTAGCGAAAGTAGCCCAATTTTGGGCTAAAAAGTAGCGAAAATAGTGAAATTTTGGGCTAAAAGTAGCGAAAGTAGCCCAATTTTGGGCTAGAAAGTAGCAAAATTTTGGGCTAAAAAGTGGCGAAAGTAGCCCAATTTTGGGCTACAAAGTAGCAAAATTTTGGGCTAAAAAGTAGCGAAAGTAACGAAATTTTGGGCTAAAAGTAGCGAAAATTTGGGCTAAAAAGTAGCGAAATTTTGGGCTAAAAGTAGCCCAATTTTGGGCTAAAAAGTAGCGAAATTTTGGGCTAAAAGTAGCGAAATTTTGGGCTAAAAAGTAGCGAAATTTTGGGCTAAAAGTAGCGAAAGTAACCCAATTTCGGGCTAAAAAGTAGCGAAATTTTGGGCTAAAAAGTAGCAAAATTTTGGGCTAAAAGTAGCCCAAGTTTGGGCTAAAAAGTAGCGAAATATTGGGCTAAAAAGTAGCCAAATTTTGGGCTAAAAGTAGTGAAAGTAGCCCAATTTTGGGCTAAAAAGTAGCGAAAGTAGCCCAATTTTGGGCTAAAAAGTAGCGAAATTTTGGGCTAAAACTAGCGAAAGTAGCCCAATTTTGGGCTAAAAAGTAGCGAAATTTTGGGCTAAAAAGTAGCGAAAGTAGTCAATTTTGGGCTAAAAGTAGCGAAATTAGCCCAATTTTGGGCCAAAAAGTAGCAAAAAAGCCCAATTTTGGGCTACAAAGTAGTGAAAGTAGCAAAATTTTGGGCAAAAGTAGCCCAATTTTGGGCTACAAAGTAGCGAAATTTTGATCTAAAAAGTAGCGAAATTTTGGGCTAAAAGTAGCGAAATTTTGGGCTAAAAAGTAGCGAAAGTAACGAAATTTTGGGCTAAAAGTAGCGAAAGTAGCCCAATTTTGGCCTAAAAGTTGCGAAATTTTGGGCTAAAAAGTAGCAAAATTTTGTGCTAAAAAGTAGCAAAATTTTGGGCTAAAATTAGCGAAAGTAGCCCAATTTTGGGCTAAAAAGTAGCGAAATTTTGGGCTAAAAAGTAGCGAAAGTAGCCCAATTTTGGGCTGAAAGTAGCCCAATTTTGGGCTAAAAATTAGCGAAATTTTGGGCTAAAAAGTAGCGAAAGTAGCCCAATTTTGGGCTAAAAAGTAGCGAAAGTAGCCCAATTTTGGGCTAAAAAGTAGCGAAATTTTGGGCTGAAATAGCAAAATTTTGGGCTAAAAGTAGAGAAAGTACCCCAATTTTGGGCTACAAAGTAGCGAAAGTAGCCCAATTTTGGGCTAAAAAGTAGCGAAATTTTGGGCTAAAAAGTAGCGAAATTTTGGGCTAAAAGTAGCCCAATATCGGGCTAAAAAGTAGCAAAATTTTGGGCTAAAAAGTAGCAAAATTTTGGGCTAAAAGTAGCGAAATTAGCCCAATTTTGGGCTAAAAAGTAGCGAAATTTTGGGCTAAAAAGTAGTAAAAGTAGCCCAATTTTGGGCTGAAAGTAGCCCAATTTTGGGCTACAAAGTAGCGAAATTTTGGGCTAAAAGTAGCCCAATTTTGGGCTAAAAAGTAGCGAAATTTTGCCAAAT